GAGTCAAAGGCCCCACCTGACATATACAGTCAAACACAGACACAGTCACACACTCCCTCCCTCATGCTCACACATACACATACAACCAAAGACTTACAAAAATGCACACCAGACACCCACTCATGCTCCCCATACACACCCTATTCACTCTGGTCCCAGTACTGCTGCACATGGGGTACAACCATTACCGGTTCACAGAGTTCGACCCTTTCTGCTGGGGTGCTGATGAGCAGGCTCCCCCTCCCAACGCTGAGCAAAGCAACCCACCAACCCAGACCCCAACCAGACAGCCAGATCTCCCTCCTAGCCTCCAGCCCCAGGAAGCCAAGTGACAAAAGAGGTGTACTGAGACCCCCTAGTCTCCCCCCCCCCCCCCCCCCCCCCGCTCCAATATAGTGTTAGTGCATGTTGATGAGGTGTATTCCATGGCTGTGGTGAGTGGGCAGTGCGGGCATCGTCTGGCCTATGCAAGCTGATGCAAGCCCTCAGTGTCTAAGTGCAGTTCAAAATTGGAAGTGGGCACCGGCACTCGGGATGAGGCTGAAAAATCCCGCTGCCAAATGCTGTTGAATGTGCTCTCTCCCAATGCCCAAAGTGTGTGTTTGTGTGGAATGTCGTTGGTGGAAGTGTTTAAGGTGCAAATAAAATTGGGGGGCTGGTTGCCACAGGAATGCGGAAATGGGGTCCATACCCGCACCCCCTGACTTGTCCACCCCCCAAGGTCCTATGTGCATGATTGTGTGATGATGTGAGGGAGCAGGAGGAGAAAAATGTGTGGGGATGGGGATGAATGGCTGGTTGGACTTGAGCCCTCCAGGGAGCTCCTGTAAATAATTAACTGAGCAGCATGAAGGACCCATGTCAGTTAGCCAGGTCTGGTTTTTTTGAAAAGCACCAGGCCTCTCTTTATGCCAACTAGAGGAGTTATGTAGTGAAACAGTGCATTATTTAGCATTTCTGGACATGGCTGCTCAGATGACATGCCCTCATTCTTCTTCACAAAAAAGGAACAAAATTACAGTGTCAATTATTCTGTTTGAAGTCAGCACATTATTTATTTATCTTTTTCTTTTGGTGAAGACAGAGTCAAAGTTTGCCTGCTGTGCTTTTATTGCTGTGATTGACATTAATTTTCAGTCTTTTTACAGACTTATAGATCTCTGCCAGCTTCTTAAAGCAATTACTGGATGTAATTTTTCTATCTGTCTCAACGCGTATAGTGGCACTAGTGCCACAACATGAGACATTTATACAGACCCACAAAGTTAAAATAATACTAATTCGAGAATGTGTCACACCCTGTCCTGTCTCCCCATTTGGTTCAGCCTGCGTCTCTGTTGATTGCTCCCACCTGCCTCTCGTTTCCCAATCACCCAAGCTCCCGGTCCTCTTGTAATTAAACCCCTCCAGTTCTGTGTCTCTTGTTGCCTCATTGTTTCCATGTCCTGCATGAGTGAATCATTAAAACCCTTTAAGTTTTCCAGTTTGTCTGCCTGCCTGCTTCCTCCCCAGCACTTGGATCCTCACCTCCGCTCCACTCACCGGCACGTCGTGACAGAATGGTCTAACACATAATTATCTTAAGTACTCTTTTCATTCAACGGGATCATTAAAATGCATCTTGCTCACATCTGCAGTATTATAAGTGAAAATCTAAGAAACACGCTGTGGACAATATCGTCTCAGGGACACCCTTTACCTGAGAGTCACTGGTTTTCTACTTCTGGGTAATATTGTAGTGAATACCGCACCATACAAGACCAAGACCACATGTATTGTTACAGCTGATGCACAAGAGTACATTAAAATTGATTAAGATCCCGGACAAGCCCCCAGAATGTCACGATCCATGATGGCGCTAAAATGAAGGACCCAGCAAAACAAAGTGGTGTGTGCCTCTGTCCTGTTAAAAACTATGGCACCAATTTGAATACACAGAGGCAGCAGCCGTAACAATATCAAAGAAAAACTATAAAGCAAAAAAAGTTTTTTTTTATCTAAGTTTGTTTATAAATATGATGCAACACGTTTTCAAAGTAGCACAAAGAATGACACAAATCTCTAATCATACCAAACTTGTGTCTTCAAGTTAAATTGACCTGACAAGTCACAATAAACCTTCCATTTCAGAGAGAAAGAATGGAAAAAGCTGCTTGGGGAAATCGCAAAACTACCAATGATTTTTGAGTCTTTTTTCACCTTTTACATGTTTCTCCAAATATCCTCAAATACACTTCAATATCTGATTGCACTCTGGCTAACTGAGAATGATCCTTTATCCACTAGCCTTGTGTGGACAATAAAATGTCAATTTAAACAGAACTCAGTGGGGTGGCCAATCAGAATCCAAGGGTTGCATGTGCTACCCCAGGCCGCTCCTTGGATATGCCCCTGTTCTAAACCCTGTTTCTGTTCCACATTTTTCTCTTAGGCGATATCAAGGGTTATCATACAGTTTTCAGAATAAAAACAGTGTTTTCTAAAGCTTTGACCAACAAACTTGAAATTATTTTTTTCAAGTTTATATTATTGTGTACCATTTTGCTTAACCAGGAATGAGTGTACTGTCATTTTAGAACACCTTTCATCTCTTCTGGAGGGTCATATACTACAGCACACAGAAAGCAAAACACTTTCTAATAATAATGGAATAAGGTTAGATTTAATCACACTGCACTTTAATCAAAGATGGATTTGTGGGTAAAGTGCTAAACATCTACCTGGGAGTTATTGTCAGCAATGAACGTCACTTGCAGGCCTGTTGCTTAGAAACAATGGCAGAATTGAGTCTCGACTTCGATGGCCCAGGGCTGCTCAGGTGGAGTTAGTTATTCTGTACAGGAATCAACATTTTGCCCATACTGATTTTTTTTTTCCAGAGAGCAGGAGAGGGAGAAACAGAGAAGAAGAGAGAATGTATCTGTAGTCAAAATTAATCAGCAAAAACTGATTAAGTACTTAAATACATACTGTGCGACTTTCTAATATTTTTAAATAATTTCCTTGAGCAAATATGTACTGAAATGACCCTTTAAGGATTAATAAAAGGTCACTTAGAGTCCCACTGCCTCCTGTGGCCACAATACCACACTTGCAACTTTAGAGTATCTGGATCGGTCCCTGTTAAGTCTTAACTAAGTGGAGCTGACATGCTAGCGCTGCAGTCTGCTTCCAGCACGTTTCCTGTATGTTTTAGATCATGAACACACCTGTAGAAACTAATGAAGGCTGAGGTGACATTTCAGCAGTTAGATTAAGGTATTCAAAAGATGAGCACACAGCAGTTTCACTTTTGGTTTTATGAGAGCATAAGTAAGACAAGACTGCCTAGATTTCCTTTTAATTGTTAGTACAAGTAAAATTATGATTTTTGTCCTAATCATTAAACTTTCTAACATGTTTGTGAATTCATGGTGCATAAAAACTAATGAAGCAGTACTGTTATTATGGTTTTGTTAACAAAAACCATGTGATTGTCACAGATACTGAAAAACAACGAATCAAACATTTACCAGACTGATAGATCTCAGTTACTTTTGTTCTCATTTGTTCTTGAATTTATTTGGATCTTGGCATGATGTCTAGCTTTTGAGGTGCTTTTGGTCTACTTCGCTGTGTCAGGCAGCTCATATTTAAATGATTTCTTGATTGAAACAGGTGTGGCAGTAATCAGGCATGGGGGTGGCTACAGAAATTGAACTCAGGTGTCAAACACCACAGTTGGGTTATTTTTTAAACAAGGGGAGCAATTACTTTTTCACACAGGGCAATGTAGGTTTGGATTTTGTTTTCTCCCTAAATACTAAAACCATCATTTCAAAACTGCATTTTGTGTTTACTTGTGTTATCTTTGACTAACGGTTAAATGTGTTTGATGATCTGAAACATTTTGTGCACAAACATGCAAAAGAATAAGAAATCAGGAAGGGGGCAAATAGTTTTTCACACCACTGTAGATTGTTTTAAGTTGTCTTGAATAAAAGAATCCAAGAAAAATAATTGAAATAACCCAAATAGGTTTCTCACTAGGAATTCAGATATTGTCTTGCAGCAAAACACTGGCGTACCTGTGTGTGAAGCTGATAGAGTTTCTATTTATGGGCCTTATTGGGCCGCAGGAAAAGAAGCAGGTTGATGCCTAATCAAAGAAAAACGCAGAGGTCCCAAGTAATCTAAAATTAAAGCTGCTTTCTGGAGTTTCCCCCTTTCACAAATGATATATGATTTATCAGAAATCCGTAAAAGTGATTATCTCATCATGTACTGTGATAAAATCTAAGCAATCCGTCCTTTTATTTATTTAATGTTTGCTAAGCACGCCCCCTGCCCCGCAGAGCTCCATTCAATAGGAAACTGAGCGCCGACCGAACTAACCAATAGCGTTAGACTACCGCTTACTTGATTCAAATTTAAGGAATACCTCGGCTGATCAGAGTTGATGAACTTTTCACAGACAACAAAGTCTCTAAAATATAAATATATGAGAACACAACATGACATGAGAATAATACTCGTAAAACAAAGTGTTTTAGCTCAGTTTGTTGGCTAAGAAGCACATTTATAAACAGAAAAGTGAAGTCGCGATCTTAGACAGAGGAATAGACTTTTTGTGTGATATGCTTGTCAGCCACTAGATGGGGCCATCGGATAAGATAAATAATCCGGAAAGAAGCTTTAACGGTTAAATGTGACAAAGACGCACAAAAGCTGAGGTGAGATCAAAAAGTTGGTGGAAGGTTGCCAGAGATTTGTAAGCAGATCAATAACAACATTTAAAGAGCGGCGCCTGTAGGAACAACCTGAAGCAGTTAAATGAGCAGAATAAGAAAAAAAAGAAAATACTGGATAGTGTGTTTAAAGTTTCACCCAGTGATGATCTTTGTTTCAGTCTTGAATCACATATAACTTACTTCTTAATGAGAAAACATCAAGTTCGATCGCCAGGAGAAATTTTGTTTGCGTTGTTTGGCAGTTTGAAGGAAAAACGCGACAGTGGGAGGGAAAGTAGCCAACTTTTAATACACATCTGCTGCACAAAGCACACTTTAAAACATGACACACATGCAAGAAGATGACATACTGCCTAAATGGACTCTTCTAACACAAATCACAAACAACAAACCCAACCAAACTTTTAAATATGTTGTATATACAGAGAAGTAAAATATATAAACACAGCCGTTTCAATTTCTAAATTTCACATTGGTGTTTTAGGCTGAAAATCATAAATATGTTCAGTTTGTACAACTTACTGTGTTTCATAGTTACTTGTATCATTGGATCACTTGTAAATTAAAAAAAAACTCAAACACGAGCAAAACAGTTGCCAAAATGGCTGCAGATTTGTTTGGTAATTATGAGGTAACACTTTATAATAAGGGCCCTTTTATTAATGTTACTTTGTGCATTATTAAGGATAAAAAAGGTTGCTTTATTAACATTATCATTATTGTTACCTATTAAGTGTCCTTAAGGTTTGGACAAAGTGCCAGGAGGAGTGTCTGCTTAGTAATGCGTTATTTAATATGGTTAAGTAGTTATTAATAGTTTTTCTAATGCCTAATAATGCACTAAGTAATGTTAATATACAGACCCTTATTGTATTAGTGTTACTTAAGTAGAATAATTATTTTCCAATACCAGTGTTTTCTTGAAGTAAAATAAGGACTAGCCTCGATCAGCTCCTCTTGGTTGGTTTTCTTTCTGCCGGTAGTGAAAGAGGCTGGTTGTGTCGAGCTCACCCGCATAACGAATGGCTTCAGCGAACAGCTTCACCACCTGCCAAACAGAAAAAAAAACACGTGAAGCTAAGTAGGATAAAGTGTTTGCCTTTTTCATTGGTAATGACTCTTTAACTAACCTGGTAATTAGTAATGAGGGGAACGCCGTAGTCAACAGCCATTCTCCGGATCAGGAAGTTATCCTTCAGGTGGCGTGTGTTGTTATTGGGCAGGTTGACAACCAGGTCAATGTGACCCTCACTGATCAATCTATCAATAAATACAAAATAATTGTTTATTGGGGGGGGGGGGGGGGGGGGGGTGCAGGCTTCTTTCTGTAGTTTAACAACCAACATTTGAGACTGCAGGTATTTGCTGTTGTGGACCAGACTGAACGCTAATGAAGACATTTCATAGATTCACTTTTCATTAATCAAACGATCACTACATAAAGTCATTTGAAAGCAACAGTAAAGAGTTTTTAAAAATATTTAAACATTTAAAATATATTTAAAAATATTTTAAAATATTTAAAAAAAGTGGTTCTTGGGCAAGAAACTGGAGTAACTTCAACCAGGATTGCGCTCTGTAGCCCTCTACTGACCAGAAACTGAACTTAACAGTTTTGTGATTCAGGTAGGTGCGCTAGGGGAAGGTCTCTGCCTGCTTTACAGCAATAGCTGTTAATTGTGTCGGTAGCTAACATAAAGGCTAGTAGTTAGGGTTTTCCATTTGATGACAGGCAATAAAAGCACAAAAAGAAGAAATTTTCTTCTATTGTTGACATCATGGAAAAGCCTGGAAGAAAGGGAGTAATGTTTTTTGGAGATGAAACAAAGAGTTTATACCAGAGTGAACATCGGCAAGGCCTAAACTCAATTTAGGGAGCTGAAGGAGGCTATGAAATCATGGACTGATGGTGACCTGGCTTTGTTGCTACTGGACTAGTATTAATATTTTTTGCCCAACATAGTTTTTTTTGTTTTGTTTTTTATTCATGGCTTATTTGGTATCGTTTGGCTCGTGTTAGCATTAGCTCACACCTTGCTACAGCAGCTTGTGTATGACAGTTGTAATTCTGCTTTTAACCAGCAGGAGGAAGAGGCTGGAAACTCATTAAGTGTTGCTTTAATTAACACAAAAATGAATACAAAAATCATATTTGATGTAGTTTCAAATAAAATATTAAAAGGATTCTTGACAATGAGCAATAAATTGATCTCTGTAAATGATCCCGTCCTTAAGTTATTGCAATTTATTATGCAAGGTTGATGAAAAGCTGCAATTGTCATCAGCCAAAAAAAGTGATGCAGTAGAAAAGTGGATCAAGAGTAGAAATCCAACAATTGTTCAGTGTATTAAACAACATTGTTTGGTAATGTACCATACTGGTATACATTTGTTTTTTTATTATTGTTACAACATTTTGTTAATGTCTGCTAACCTCTTTATACTGGGAAATGCAGTGTTTTCATCCTTTCCAGTTGGCCAGGCAACAGGAATGGCGGGTACATCATTGGCACACAACCAGGCTGAAGTGGCTTCAGTAGCGTAGAGCTAGATGGAAAATTTGACAATATTGCAACATTTATATATTGTCACAAAACAGAACACTATTTTAAATAAGATTTTTCATGGAAAATTGATAATTCATCAATAAATGAGTCTGTTTTTATACAATCTGAAACCGATTTTCAGAACCCACCTTGAAACCTTCCTCTTTCAGCTGGTGTGCTGTAGCTAAGAAATTTGGCCGAAAAGATTGCTGAAAAGAAAGACGCAGATTTTTTTTTAACCACAAATGGGATACAGTCATGCAGAGTATCTCTGTTTGCATTTGGTTTAAAAACAGTTAGAAAAGACTGAAATGTTATGTTTGCATATAAATTCAGTGCCTGGTTTTGTTCTTAGTAAACTTGAGCATGTTCCTGTTAAAGCGACATGAGCAGTTTTGCAACCTAATTTCCTTCTTGTCCAGTTTCTGTAATAAATCTGTCAATTCTGAACAAATTTATACAAACTCTGAAAAGGTAAAAATATATCTGTTGTATTTTTATACCTGAATCCCAATTAGGATGCCCTTCTGTGGCAGCTTAAAGCCTGTGGACAGGATCGCCTTTAAGAAGGCTGAATAAATGTTTGGGCCAAAACAGGCTACCTGGAACAAGACACATATGCAAATGCAAACACTGATTCTTTACATTTTTTGTGACAATCCAGAAGAAAAATTAGATAAATATCATTCAAAGTAGCTGGTTTATTTCCAATGAGCTTACCTCTCCAGTGGAGGCCATCTCACAGCGAAGCACAGGGTCTGCATCCCTCAGTCGTGGCCAGGAGAACATCGGCGCCTAGGTAAAAGGAAAGAAGGAAGGATTTTTGTTTTTAATTTGTTCAATTGGCAGGTTTGTTCACATACCAGCAGTTTGCCTGACCCCATGACAATTTTGGATATTTTTTGTCAATGACCCTGGTCATTAAGACTCTGGCTTTTGATCAGATCTTGCAAGATAAAAGTCCCAGTCCAGGTGGGCCAGCATTGTTTGTCCTTTTCCACAATCAGACACAAAACACCCAATGGGCATTTCATGTTTTTTTATAGAAGGAGGCGGGGCACAGCCACATAGCTTCCTGGCTGTCATCCAGTAGGCAGGGGTGTATCCAGACCTTTTAAACTGGGGTGGCCCAGGTGGGGCACTCGCTTATGCATGAGTGGCACCAATGGTTACATTTTTTTATTTTTATTTATTTTCTTATTCTAGTAGTGAGTTTGTGAGTTCCACATTGTGCCATGACCATTTCTCTCTATTCTTCTTTGTTGAGGTATTTTGTGGTGGTTAGCAAGCCACTTCTTGGCGCATTACTGCCACAGACTGGAGTGGACTGGGACTCTATAAATAATAGTAACTAGAATACAGAAATGTATTCTATTGGCTGGGACAAGAAACCAATGTTAAAGCAGCATGCTGCCACCTACTGTTTTGGAGTTAATAACTCAAAGCCTTTTGTGGACAATATACAGTCAATTTAAAGAGCGACTAACACCGAAAACCACATTATTTTTGCTCATAACCTGTATAGATGAGTGCCCAATAGTGCTGTAGACATGTGTAATCATTATTTTGACAATTTAGCGCAACTTACTTAAGATACTTCAGTATTTCAGCCCAAAATTGTAATTATAGCTTCATCTTCAGGTTAAATCTCTGCTCCACTATGATTTAGAATCAACCACAGTTGATGGCTAAGCTGCAGGACATAACGTTGTCTGTACAGTACTGTGTGGCTGCACTGCACTGGGCTCCAGCTGAGTCTCAGCCACACCTCCACCTGGCCCAGCCACTCACCCGCCCCCTTTCTTTTAGTGATCGTGGTGGACAGGAAATCCTCCAGCATGCTGAATGCTTCTGTGTCTGCTCTTCTCCTGAGCAGTGAGTCTAGGGTGTGTGTGTGTGTGTGTGTGTGTGTGTGTGTGTGTGTGTGTGTGTGTGTGTGTGTGTGTGTGTGTGTGTGTGTGTGTGTGTGTGTGTGTGTGTGTGTGTGTGTGTGTGTGTGTGTGTGTGTGTGTGTGTGCGTGTGTGCGTGTGTCTTTGCGTGTGGGTGGGCTTGTTCTGTGTGCACACAAAGCGTTACAAGTGATAATGCTGCAGGAATTCCTCTTCTCAGCAGCAGCTCTGCAGGTCCTCTCCATGTCCAAAACGTGCGTAAGCCAGGTTCTTAGTCAACTTATATTTGCGCACATTTTTCCGCTAAATTTTCTTTCATAAATCCCAAAGTTTGCGTGGAAAATTGCTTACGCAGTTTTCCGACCCCATTTCGTGCGTAAGCAAGTTTGATAAATGAGGCCCAAGGACATGTTTTTGTACCCTTTACCATTTCCCTTGCTTTTTATGCATAAATCCAGTTAAACTGAATGCCCATCTCATCATTTTTATCGAAGTGTTGCTGTAGCAGAGTCGAAGTCACTGGTTGAAGTGCTCTCCGGATGACAATCCCCTTTGGGAAGAACCAGGGGAACCACGGGTAGAGCCAAGGCTGCAGTCAGCAGTCCCAACAATAACTTCACCCTGGTTCTCTGTATTCAAGCTTCTACAACTTATTTCTACAGCAATTACAATAACTATTACAGGTTTCAGAAAATGTAGCTTTACGATGTCCAGTCTACCTGTGTAATGCACAAATGCAGCTCAGCCACAATCTGACATAATAGAGTGGATAAATGAGTGGTAAATAGCAAAAAAGAAAGTTGAAAAGGTAGCGGGGGGGGGGGGGGGGGGGGGGCAATGACATAAACAAAAGTATAAAGACAGAGAAAGATAGACAATTAGGGAATAATTAAAAGGTGATTGGAAATGGAAGGTCCCAACGGAAGAGAGGAGGAAAGAAGATAAGGTTTAGAGAATGAAAGATAAGATAGTGATGAGAAATGGAGAAAGTAAATGTGAAGGAACATGAATAAGTGACGGTATCATCTCTCTTTTGTATTGTAGAAAAGGCCAGAAAAGTAGGGTGCCATTTGGGAAGCCATTATTATTACTCCATTTATAAAGGGGACAACCCTTATTAACTTCAAGACAGCATGAAGTGGTGGTGTGTGGTTGTGTCCATTTACACACACACACACACACACACACACACACACACACACACACACACACACACACACACACACACACACACACACACACAGCCAGGGGGCCACAGGACGGGTGGGGGGTGGATTTATCCTTGAAGCAGGCTATCTAATCAGACAATGTAACGTTAGCAAGCTAATGTAAGAAGGAATGAGGAGAACGCTCACAGGGAAACAGAACGGCTTGTTGTCCTTTTGTTTAAAGAGGCAGAAATAGACAAAGATGTAACCAAGAAAGATAATTAGACAGAAAAAGTGGCACATGTAAAGGGAATAACAATGAGATGGAACATAATAAAAGACTTCAAATAACAAATGAATGACTGAAAAAGATGCTCCCATCTTTTTCTATATTCTCCAAACTAACATGGAAACTCCCAAAACTAAATGGGGCAGCAGTAGCTCAACAGGTAATCGGAAGGTTGCAGGTTTGATCCCGGCTCCGGACAGATAATTCTGCTGTTGTGTCCTTGGGCAAGACACGTAACCCACCTTGCCTGTTGGTGGTGGTCAGAGGGACCGATGGCGCCTGTGCTCGGCAGCCTCGCCTCTGTCAATGCGCCCCAGGGCAGCTGTGGCTACATCGTAGCTCATCCCCATCAGTGTGTGAATGTGTGTGTGAATGGATGAATGATACACTGTAGTGTAAAGCGCTTTGGAGTCCTTACTCTGAGAGGCGCTATACAAGTGCGGGTCATTTATCATTTATTATTTAAATCTGCAAGGTTCTCATTTGAGTCATAAATCAAAAACAGCTAAAAGACACGCTGTAATTAAAAAGGAATCCAGAGCACTAGCGAAGATAAAACTGAAACTATACCATATTTTTAAAAAGGGCTTCATCTCTGGCAATAAAAAAAAAACATTTGTCACAACTTTGTGTCCATTGGACTGAATGTTTGGTTTTGTAACATTGATCAAACCTTCCTAACAGCATCCTACCAACAGACTGAAGCAGCAGTTAATCTCCAAATATTATGCAGTCCCCCCTCTCCTGAGGATTACAGCGAGGCTTCACCACATGAACAATGTTATCATGAAGCAGAAGACAAGCTCTGGAAAGACAACACAGCTGTTTAATGTGAACACCTGTTTAAACGTTTCAATAATCACAGGAATTAAATAAGAATCTTACTTTAACGTTAGTACTCACAGGAACTCTGGGTCTAGACGTGTACTTATAGCTGGGGTCCGTAGTTTAAAATGTTTAAAATAACTTTAAAATGTTCAAAATAACTTTCAAAAGACTTAAAAATGGACTAGTTTACTCTGTTTTATGATATGAAATAGGTAAATTCATAATTTATAGTTCCTAAATCTTTTCTCTGGCCTCTACAGCAAAACGAATCATTCATGAGAGCCTAGTTCCGTATCCAGAAGAGGGAAATGTCGGTGAACTGGTTCCCAGCATGCCCTGCGGGGTGACACACAGTCAACTTAGCATGCCAACCTAGCTTGAATGCTAACTCAACTTGCACTGAATAAATGCCAGGCCCAATCCCAATACTCCCACTGCGCCCTGAGCCCTTCTGTGACGTGCACTTGGAGGAAGCATGCAGCAAAGCTTTGAGTGTAGTACGCACTAGTGTGTTGAATTGGGACAGGGAGCATTACGTCATTGACTGCGACACTTGTCAAGATGCCAGTTGCGGTTTGTTCTACTTTAAAAAAAATCTTTTTTTTTCCAATTTTCAAACGATTATTTGACTAAATTTATATTCATTGCTGTCCACATTAAATCTGTCAGGTTCGTTGGCAGATCTGAAGCGTGACTGAGAGTTCTGTTGCCCAGACGCGGAGAGACGGAGATAGCCGGCGTGGTTATCTCCTGTAGGTGTAGTCTGAGTGTTTTGAGGGCTGGTAAGCCTGGAGACTCGATACAAAGTCTGGTGAGAAACGATGACTGAGCAATGAATGAAACGCCGGCACTTCCTTAAGTAGTGCCGGCGTGATGACGTCAGTCGCCACGTTGGTGGCAGGAATGAATGGAATGCAGTCAGCTGGAGGAGTTCGTGACAGGACCCCCCCCTCGAGGGACGGCTCCCGAAGTCCCAGGACGGCGGGCCCAGAAGTCAGTCAGCAGGGTAGGGTCGACAAACGAGCTCGTAGGCTCCCAAGAGCGTTCCTCAGGCCCGTACCCCTCCCAATCCACGAGGTACTGCCAACCTCGTCCCCGGCGGCGAGCGTCCAGAATCCTGCGGACCGTGTAGGTGCGATCCGCCTCAACACCGCGGGGCGGAGGCACCCGGACCGGTGGAGGGTGGAGAGGAGAGGAGATCACCGGCTTAAGCTGGGAGACGTGAAAGACCGGGTGGATCCGGAGAGTAGCCGGGAGGCGCAGACGGCAGGTGACAGGATTGATGACCTTAAGGACGGGGAACGGACCCAGGAAGCGAGGAGTGAGCTTCCGGGAGCCAGCCGGCATCCTCAGGTTAGCGGAGGAGAGCCACACCTGGTCGCCAGACCGGAAGACGGGGCCAGGCCGGTGGCGGCGGCGATGCTGACGGGCATACTCCGTGTTGGCCCGGGTGATGGCCGCACGGGCCCGGATCCAGGCGAGCCGACAGCGGCGGACCAGCGTCTGGGCAGCAGGGACCTCCACCTCGGGCACCTGATGATCAAACAGAGGTGGCTGATAACCGTAACAGGTCTCGAAGGGAGACAGACTCGTGGCTGAGGAGGTCTGGAGGTTGTGTGACAGCTCCGCCCACAGGAGAA